AAGTTGTGTTTTTGCCGGGAACCAATCAAGGGCCCGGACTAACGCAGGAAGGGCCTGGAGCCCAGGGAGTGGCCAGGAGGCAGGGCCAGCAAGCCTTTTGTTGGTCGCTTTGAAAGTCACACAGCCACAGAGGAAGGGAGGTGGGGGCAGAGGCCTGGGACAGCCAGGCTTGGGAATTCCTGCCAGCTACTGTAACAGCTACCTGCGACTTGGTGGGCACTTCACGCTGTGCGTAATCTCCGATCCTCTGAATGAAGCCCCAAATTGATGATTACAGATGAAGAAACCAAGGCACAGCGTGTCCTCCTGTGTGTTAGGTGTTACCCTAGGTCTTCGCATTTAATTTACATTATTTCCCTTTTCCTGGACTCTTTAGCCTAATTTTGCGGATGAGGAGGCGCAGCGAGCTCCACTGTGACTGGGAGACTGCCCTGCCCGAGACCACAGAGCCCTCTCGGGGTGAGGCAGGGTCGCACTTGGGCCTTTCCGGCTCCAGAGAGCGAGTGTTTTAATTGTACAGTGTTATCCATTTAATGAATCTTGAGTAGGAGTGTCGGGTTCATTGAAACAAAAACCAAAACCAGGATGGCCAGCTAAACTTGAATTTCAGAAAAATAATGCATTTTTCTTTTTTTTTTTTTTTTTTTTTTTTTTTTTTATTACATTTATTTATTGTGTGTGTGTGTGGCCAGCTCAGCCCACCAGGGGGCGGGTCTGGCTGGCATGTGGTGCTGGGGATCGAACCGCGGTCCCTGTGCTTTGCCAAGCTTGTTTCAAGTAGGTGCTTTAGACCACTGAGCCATCTCTCCAGCCCCTGCATTTTTCTTGAGTATTAAAATTATGTCCATGGGGGCCGGGGAGATGGCTCAGTGGAATAAGCGTTTGCCTGGCAAGCGCGAGGGCCTGAGTTCAATCCCTGGTCCAGGCCAGGTGTGGTGGCACGCACCTGTTGTCCCACCACTTGGGAAGCTGAGGCCCGAGGCCTGTCCTCAGGTCAAAGCCAGTCTAAGCTACATAGTGAGCCCAAGGCTGGCCTGAATTAGTGTGAGATCTTATCTCAAAAAATCCAAAATAAATAAAGAAAATAAAACGTCACAAATATTTCCAGGGGCATTCTGTCTCAGCCTCCCTAGTGCTGGGATTATAGGTGTGCGCCACCACGCCCGGTTTTGGTGACGCAGCACGCAGTACTGGGGATCAAACCCTGGTCCTTTGCTTTCCAGGTAGGCACTTAGACCACTGAGCTATCTCCCCGGCCCCGCAAGGGGCATATTTAAATTACAGACTGTTCATTGTTTACCTGAAATTCAAGTTGAACCAAATGTCCTGTCACGTGGTGGGCCACAGGCTTTCTCCTGTCTCCGGCTCCTAACAACAGTTTGCCTTGAAGCGCACACACGACCCTTTGGGACCCACAGGCCGAGGGTTGGTAGGCTGCAGGAGTGCTGGTCCTGCTCCCCATGAGGAGAGAGACCAGGCTGAAGGCCAGGCGCTGTGGAGTGGGGTGCTGGACACCAACCCTGACCTCCCCAGCAGTATCTTTCTTTTTGTAGTCCTGCGGCTGAGCTGCGAAGGGCGAAGGGCGCTGTACAACCTAGGGCTGTGCTGCACGGCACGCGAGGAAGGCTGCTGCGCAGGGGGAGTGGGGTTGGGGCTGAAGAGGAAGGAGGCAGGCCGTTCCCAGCATGGAGGGTCAGATCCAGAGGAGCCCTGCCACTGCGCTCTACCCTCAGCTCTTTTTGTTCCTGAGACAAAGTTTCACTGTTAGTTCAGGCTGGCTTGAAGCCCACTGTGTGACTCAGGCTGGCTTTGAACTGGTGGGATCCTCCTGCCTCAGCCTCCAGTGTTAGGATGACAGGTATGTACCATTGTGCTAAGAGCATTCAGTTTCTGTCCTCCAGAGGTGGCAACTGAGCCACGCTGCTGTCTAGCTTCACCCACCACCATGGCTTGGTGGCCTCGGCAAATTGGTTCACTGAGGCAGACGTCTGTTTTCTCAGCTGGCAACTGATACAAGCAGGAGGGGCCCAAGAAAGCCTGGGGAGGTTCTGCTACTGAGGCGGCGGCAGAGAGCAGCCTGCTGGGACGGAGCTCTGGCACCTCTCACAGCTTCTGTGAGAGCAGAACACACCCAGGAGGCCTTCATCGCAGCTACATTTTATTTGCCACATTTCTGACAGACGTCTAAATTATACATCGAGTTTCCACATGACCAAACACCACGTCCCTTCCTTTGATTATCAGTTTCAAAAGGGACTATAAAAAAAGAACCTTTTGCTGGATCAGACTGAACCCTGAAACCACATGAGTGCAGAGCTAAAAATAAAAGGAAAGGAGAAAGAAATCAAAGCATGCTGTGATGGGGACCTGGGGACAGTCCTGGGAGGGGACATGGTGTCACCCTCTGGGCCAACAGTGAGGGTGGGGCACAGGATGACACAAAAATAGCTATTAGAAGGGCATAAAAAACCTCATGAAAAAGCAGGACAGCACGGAGCAAAGCTGAGGAGGAGGGCAGGCCCGTGGTCCGCGGCTCCCAGGGCGGCAGATGTCACTGACCCCGCACTGTGGTAACCTCGGGCGGAATCAGCTGTGTACTGACATGTTCCCAGCACAGCCCACATCCGAGACACCCTTGTTTCCATAGTAACCAAGGGAGAATGAGGGGGAAAGGTGGCTGCACTGGGCCCAGGGAAGCCAGCCCTGGCAGGGAAGAGTGGCCGACTCGGTTTCCCCGCAGTGGGCTGGAGCACACAGGGTGGGCACCCAGCTCTGCTCTACACTGGGCTGCCACCGTGTGCAGAGGGCTCCGTCACGTGGGGTGCAGGCCCCTTTCTAGCTGCAGGTTCTGTCCTGTAGTGGGGGGCACAAGGAGAAGTGGAGACTTTAAAGCACTTTGGTGTCACCAATGGGAGCTTTCAGTCCCGCCTTCTGCCTGCCGCTCTCAGCGCCCCCCAGCACGGCCCCTGGAGGGTTCAGCAGGGCTCAGGAGCAGATGAAAGCATGTGACATTCACAGTGGCTCTGTCTGTATCTCAGCACTTCCAGAGGCTGTGGTCGGAGCAGGGCATGTGGCTTCTGCTGCTGGCTGGGGCCTGTGGGGGGCTCTTCAGAGCAGTTCTCCAAGTTGGTGGTGAGAGACTAAAAATATTTTATAGCCCGACCACTGCCAAAGTCACAGTTCCCTGCTGCAGTGCTCCAAAACTGCAGACCTCAAAGCAGGCGCTCTGCCGTTCAGATAACATACCTGGCGCACTGTTTGGAAGGAAAACAGTTTTCAAGGGCAGGAGCCCTAGTGCAGGCCAGCTGGCAGAGGGTGCTTCAGATTCCTTCTAGTTCTGTTTTGCCAACAGCGGAGAAGAGCTTGGGGACCAGAGAAGTCTTCAGGGGACCAGCTGGGGTGAAAAGCCCCACCTTTCCTTCTGCGAGCCCTCACAGGTCTGGCCGAGCCCCCCAGGGCCGCTCTGTGAATGTCTGCCACCCGGACAGCATGGCGCTGGCCAGGCCATCGCCTCTCCTCCTCGAGCCTCCTCAGCAAAGCGAGGTCCTGAGGCCGCCCCCGCCCCCAGGAGGCCCCGAAGGGCCGGGCAGGCGGCTGCCACTCCACCCGCCCCACTCCGGAAACTCTCATTTGCTCTCTGCAAAGCCCTTCGCTCAGGCCCCAAATAGAGCTCAATTCAGGAGCCGGGAGGCTCTGGCCTGCTTTCTGTGCCTCCAGCCGGGGATTTCTGAAAGCTCGGGGAAACAGCTCTGCTGTGCTTCTCCAATCAATCAACAGACACAGCTCGCCCGAGAGAGGCAGAGCCACCAGCGGACCAGGCTGGGGTCCCTGGGCTCCGCCGCCCGCAGTCGTCGCCCGGCTCTTCCAGGCAGCAGAGCCTCTCAGCCAGGCGCGTCCCACACCACCACCACCACCTCCTCCTCCTCCTCCTCCTCCTCCTCCTCC